GCAATTGTAATTGACATACGAACTTACAAAACATTAAAATAACGATATACGATAAAACAAATTATCTGAGATCTCTTTTGCGAAATTCTATTCGAATTGCGGTATTTTGAAAAATGGAACAGTATTTTTCAGTAATAAAATCGATTGGATGGAATTCCTGCTGTAAGAAGATACAATGGTGAACACTCTAACTACTGCAATTGAAGAGGAGCAGTCCAGCATTCATATAAAACTATTTTGAAAATTCAAATGTCTTTTCACGCTGAATAGAGTAGGTACGTCATTCCGATTAAAAGTTTTAAAATTATAATGAAAAAAACTAAAGTTGGTTTGACTGTTCCAGTAAGAGAAAAAGTCAATGATCATCATTGCAATATGCGAATATTTTAGACTTGAGTAGCCCGGTGAACGTGAAGAATTTACAATATAAAACGGAACCCACCAAACGGGGTGGAAATTCTTTCAAAAATATAACGAGCCAAACAAAAAAGTTGACGCGTTCTATGATTACAAGATTGGCTGCGTTCTCGAGAAACAAATATTGTTTTACGTTATGTTAGGCCAAATATTCTTATTGTGATACGCTGGATCTGCATATTCCCACCTTTACATGAATCAACTCGAGTCCTTTATAAACCATTTTAAATCCCTGACGTTTACACCAAACAGGTCCGAAACTCGCATAAAGATATTCTGTTTTACACAATATTAATTTTGTTGCTAAGGTTTTTTACACAGCACTGTAAATAACTTATTAAATAACAAATTATATTATAATAATTTCGTAAATTGAAAAGTAGATTGCAATTTTAAGATTCTGTTTCAAATATGAAATGTGTAAAATGATATTCAAATTAACCAAAAACTAAATTTATTTTATTAAAAAGATAGGAAAAAAAAAACTGAATTTGACATAATTAAACTTGAGATATTGTAAAGATCTTTTTTCACATACATATACACTCACTAAGGAATATAATTGTGTATATTTTGATATTATTATTAAGGATAAATCAATAAATTTATTCTATGCTATGCAATTTAATATTTATAGTTAATAGTTTAGTATAACATTATTATATTTGGATATTATATTTTCCCTTAAATTATGTTTTTTTGGTTCCGAATAGATTAATGTGATTATGTAAGTTGTATAAGGATATAATTTAAATTTAGAAATGTTATACAAAAGGATATCAGTGGCGTCTAAAACAATTTCGTTTATATTAAATTTATTTACTTTGTATAGTACAGTTTTAAATTAGAAAAGAGAAAATTTCACTTGAACAGAGAGAATAATTAATTGTCATTAATTAGAAATTTATAAAAAGGAAATTTATTTATTACTAAAAACATTAAGATGTTGTATAATGAGAACAAGGATAAAAAGTAAGATAAATTCAAAAATTTGGAAAAAAATAAATTTAAATGGTCTTTAGTGAATGACAGTGAAACAGTGTGTGTGTGTATATCTGTGAATCAGTATTGACGAAAATATTTAATGAGTAAAATTTGTCAAATTCAATTTTGTTACATTTTACTTAATGACAATGATGATTTAGTTATTTAATTTAAATATTTTAAATTTATTTAAAAAATACGGTCAAAATATTGAATGAATTTAACTTTTGTATATTACAGTGATTTAGTCTGTAGAGATAGCTAATCACCTATTCAGTACCATTGTGTGTTATCTAAGATAACATCCTGTTTGAGGTATCCCCACTTATGTTTGGAACACAATGGTTCTATACTAGAGAAGGTCGATAAACAATCCAATGAAGTAAGGCCAGCAGTCTGTTTGATCGATTACTTACATATGCTTGAGGTGAAATTGATCGTGAAAACCTGTGGCGTTTAAGGAATACTGTTAGGAAGCAAAATAAGGAAAAGAATAACATGAGAATATTATCGGGAAAAATTTTCTAATGATTATCTTTATGGCGTCCACAAGAAGCTGAGAATTACATGGTGAGAGACCGAAAAAAGCCGATCAACGAATATCTGTCATTCTCTAACATACCAATCGAAGCATGGTAGGAATACTTTTGCGGTTTGTACAATAATGTAGTTATAGAAAATACCAATATAAGCGACAATGAAACATATCAAGTTGGGATGACGTTTTCATTTACAAGTGCTATGGTCAAAAGTAATGTTAATAAGTTGAAAAATAGAAAGTTCCCGAGTATGGATCAAATCTCAGATAAAATGATCAAGTAGGGCGGAGAGAAACTTCAAAAAGAGATAACGGATCCGTTCAATAGAACTTTATTGTTGCAGCATATTCAAAAAGACTGGTAAAACAATATCACTATCCCTATATTTAAGGAAAGTAACAAAAATATACTGGAAAAGCATAGTGGGGCCACTTTACTAAGCGCGATGCAGAGATTATTTACAAAAATACTTTCTAATGAATTCGAATTTTAAGGTAGAAACAATATAATAAGAAAGGTTTTTCTCAATTTATTCAGAATTAATTCACATATTAGCAAATATAGATGATCTTAATACCGAAATAATACCGTTATCAAATTTAACAGCAAAATGTCGGGCCAGATACCTACAGTAGCATGCATCTGGCAAGGGGATAGTCATAGTTGACTAATGATATTTTATAATTTTAATAAGAAATTTCTTCACAAAAGTGGCATTTATTAATCCTGCTTCCAACAACAAAATAAGTTCAATTATTGCATTCTACTGAATCCTTTAAAAATATTTAATTAAATTTTATAATTTTAATTTTGTAACTTGAAAAAATCTCAAAAAATTACAAAAAAATATTTTCCAACAATGAAAACATTTTCAAAATATTCAAATAATAAGGAACATAAAAACTCTCATAAAATTTAATTTTCCTTAAGGACTCTATTAGTCGATAATTGGTGCGGTTTTTCTTATTTCCTTTATTAGCAAATAAGAAAAAATTTTTATTAATTTTTAATGAAATAAATAATTTTATTGAATAATTTTCTATAAAAATTAAAAAATTAAAAAAAAATATTTGAAATTTTGAAGTTAAAAACTTTTTCGAATTTCTTCATCCTCTTTTGACTTACTCAGTTGTGTCGCAGTTGTGTATGTAATCAATTCTTATTTTCCATTTTCTTATTCCGTATAATAATTAAAAGCAAAAGAAGAAATAAAATAAAACTTTTCTCCCGGTGGAAGTTTGTTAAAAAAAGTCCACAAATTTTATGAAAAGTGACATAAATTTGAATGCTTAATAAAAAAAAAAATTGGCAAAATTTGGGTCACAAAAGGTTTGAGTTAAAAAGTAAAAAATTGATCAATAAAATTAAAGAGAAAAGGTTCATTTGGCTCGTGCCTGTTATTTAAAGTATGCTTATGTTATTCTGTTTTTTAATACAGAGAAAAGTAGGGCAAGTTTTTTTCTTCGTTTGTAAGTTTCATTCAAGATTTTCAGTTTGCTAAAAATTAACACTTTGTGAAGTTTTCAAGGAAGAAGTCATAGAGTAGTTAATAGGCAACAAAATAATTAAGTAATCTTTATGAGCTCATAAATATCAAAAAACCTTCTAGGACAAAATGTTTAGGTTGGTGGATGATCTAATTGCTGCGCTTAAGGCTACGCCGACGATGTGGCTTTCGTCATACGCCACAAATTTATGTTTGTAGAAGTAAAAAATTTATGTGTTGTAGTAGGGTGGTGCAGATGCGTTGGGTTAAATATATATCCCAGCAAAAGCACTTTGGTTTCCTTCACCAGACACAGAAGCAGGGATAAATTAACGAGCCCAATTCTGTTTGGTGAACATATTGGTTATTCTAGGGAGGTGAGGTACCTGGAGGTAACCCTAAATGATTGCCTCTCCTAGAATACCCACATAGATAAAGTCATCGGAGGAGCTACGACGGCCTTGTGGACGTGCAGGAGCTTCATCTTACGGATTTCAAATTATAAAAAGTAAGGAGCAAATCAGCGGAAAACCGCAAATTCATCTTCCTAAATTGGAATTCATCGAAACTTAAACTCTTTTCCAATAAACTTAAAACACGTGGTATCATTTTGTATAGTTATACTAGGCAGTATAGTTTAATCTGCCTTGGCAAATAAGTACATGTAATAAGTTAGTCAATTTAGTGATAGAAAGATGTACGGACGGTTATTTGAAGTGACCACCGCATTCCAGATTGGATTGCTTTAGAATTAGGACAAGTATACCAGTTTAATGATACCCTTCCCTTGAGCATTCGATTGAAGATGGTGAAACAGAACCAACTCGCTATTTTAAGGAATTTTGTATATCTCTGGTATTTTTTTGAGAAATAATCACCCATGTTCAGTCATGCTGGCCCCATCTGGTAACAATAATCTCATGTGGCTCTCTTGAGAAGCGTCTGTCTTTTATCTACGTACCGATAACGGGGCGAAATGACGAGTTAAATTAAAGAGTTTAATTCATTTGTTCTTATTGTACTAAAAATTTGTATGTACTAAAAAAATTGTACTAAAAATATACTAAAATTGTTTTAAATCAATGATACTCAAAAATAACACTGAGTTTCTAATAATTGTGTGCGCGAATGTAATAATCCAATTTTCAAATTTTATTACAAACCGTCCCTGAGAAGAAACTCTATTTTAGTATAGTGTTGAATATAGTATACTAAAAGTAATATGAAGGTATTTTTATTTTGATATTTTTATCCTAGAATATTTTATTTTTTTTTTGTTGTAGAAATCTCTCCTTTTTTTGGTACGTTATTTATGAAGCAAATAAATCTATATTTGTGCATATGTTTCTATGTTTGTATTTTCGAAATTTTTATAAGAACTTGTAAATAAAATATCAAGTGTATGGGGTATGTAAGTAGTATATGTAAATATGCAAATTTTCATTTAAGAAATATTTTTGATATACGAAAAGAATTTTACATATAGACGACGTACCACCACCATTTTTACCCATTTTTTTTTCCTATTTATTTTTTTTTATATATTATTTTTTTTTTAGAAAATTGATATTTACCGAAATTGATTCTCTTCCAGCACCTACAGATGTTGTTGGATCCAAACGTTTCCAGCCATCAAAAAATTCTCTTACGAATCTTCTTGATGTATCAAGGATACGAAAACCTGTTATATTGATGGCACCATATTCAATAATTTCACTTTCCCATCTGTCGTCCATAACCTTTTTTTTCGTATTTTTTTTGTAATGTTTTGTAGGTTCATCCCATCAATCCCGTTATATAAGTATACGGAGAGATGAAAAGTATAAGTTAGTGTTTGTATATGTGCACATATACGTATAGATGCACGTATTTTGAATAGATAATCGTTTAGGTATTGAAATCATTCAATATGACAAAAAAAAAAAGAAAAAAAATTGGTTTTTTATGTTTGAGACCAAAAAAAAAATAACAATGAAAATAAAATGTTGTTTTTGTTCAAAAGTGAAACAAAATATATGGTTCCATGTTTATATGTTTGTGTGTATGTGTGCCGGAATTATATGCAAAAAAGGACCAGTATATAAAAATATGAGTTTTAACACAGAAGCGCCAGCATCGTCATCATCATCATCATTATTATTATTGTGATCATTATCACAAGTATAAGTAAAAAGGCAGCAAGGCAATTGAATTAAAGGCAACAAAAATAACCAAAGCATTCAGTTCAGGTGTTTTTTTTTTTTTGTTCCAAATTTTATATATTGTTATTGTTGTTTTTTTTTTCCATTCATTGTCCATTGTTACAAATTTTATTGTTGTTGTTGTTGAATTTTTTTTGTTATGTTGTCGTTTATGTTGTTTTTCAAGTAGTAGCAGCAGCAGCAGCATCACCCCCCGAAAAAAATGTAAAAAAAGTGTTGAAAGCAAGTTGACATATAACATAGAAAGAAGAAAAAATGAAAAAAAAAAATAACATTAGCTCCATAAATCAGTTGAAAGTGACCTTCTTTTATTGTATTTTGCTTTTATCCTAAAAGATGCTTAATATATGAGTATATGAAAATATAAGGGTAAGAAATTCGGGTACATTAAAAAGTATGTATAAGCTGAGTAGCTAAATTTATGTATTTGTGTGTTGTGAGTAACGAAATTGGAATTCTGATGATGGGTTTTTGTTTCTGTTCTGCTTGTTGTGTTAAAGGATATTACAACGAATACATTTGATAAAAAGTGAGAAATGTTTATATTTAAAGTACAACAAGGATATATGAAAATTGATTGTGAAAAGTGAGAGCACTGCATCTTATATAGTTAAGTAATTTTGACATTTTTTTTTACTGATAATATTTTAGGAGGAGTAAATGATAATATGAAAAATATTTTGTATAAGAGTAATTTAATGTAATCAAAAGAAATTTTCTTCTTATGTATGTAATATGCTTAAATAATTTTTAAAGAACTTAAAATACTAAATTGAAAATAGAAACTTTAGTATACATATAGAATTTATAAACTTACAAGACCACTCAATAGATAATGATAAGTTCGTCTGCCAAGTGATATATCTCGTACATGATTAACAACAATTTCTTTTGCCATTTCAGTTGGACAATCTAAAACAATATATTTGCTGGACCAACGATTTAATTCTTCTAATGTGTGTAGAAAATCTATTGCCATTGTAACATTTGCTATTCTTTTAACCATTTCAACTTGAAATGATTCATTGCCCGGTTTAAGACCTTGATAAATTTGTTGTAGTCTTAAGAGACCTGAAAAATAAAATTAAACAAAAAATTAAACACATATTTTTATTTTTTGAAAAATATTTTTCAAAATTGTAAATGAAATGCTTGCTTTTCTAAAATTTCACATTAGACAATATTAGAATAGTTTTTGACATATTTACGTTAATAATTTTGAAAAAGACAGCTATTGCCATTGTTAATTTGACAATTACTCAAAAATTTTTGACTCAAATTATTCATCAAAATGTCAGCAAAACAATAAGAGACGTCAATAAGCTTTTGTAAATTTTTATTTAATTTGTAAAACAAAATTTTTAGAGTTTGCCTAAAAGAAAGCCGAGACGGAGGCCATGTTCGGTTTTCGATAATGCCACAGACGGAGATGCATTAAGCCATTTTACATAACGAACTGCAAACCAGGCGAGCAGAAATCCCAGAACTTTAGCCGAATTTTGAAAAGCTCGGGTTGGTTCTTGTGAATGCGAGGCAATTTTTGGAGCCAATAATATCACAATGGCCTATCTGGCCTATGTGTACCTTACGCTAGCCGTCTCACCTAACCTAACCTATCTTAATTATTTAATCTAAGTTATTAAAAATTTAAAATTACAATCATAGTGGCTCTAAAATGAAAATTCCTTTAAAATTAAATGCTTGTTTTACATTTGTAAATTCATAATGCACGTACACAAGTATAGGTTAATGTTCACTTATTGTATATTAAATTTAATAAACTAAATTAAAAACTTTTCCAAGGCTCACAACATTGTGATTATGTAAATACAACAAAAATTAATTCCTGTGTTCTTAGAACTTGTACATTTTCTTTTCTCAATGCAAAAATCATATTTGAATTTGATAAAGTTGAGTTGAATGTACACACATGAAGTTCAATAAAATCGAACATATTTTGTGCCAATACATACATACACAAGTACATATGTACATACGAGTATATGAACTTTAAATACTTGCTATGCAAAATGTATACTTGTGTGTCATCTATTAAAAACTAACAAGTCCAATTGAACGTACATATTTAACAAAATAATAGAAAATATTGAGACGACAGAAAGTTTTTCAGAGAGAAAAAGAAAAAAACTTCTTAAATTCTTTAATAATTTTTACGAAAACAAAAAAATACGAAAATGAAAAACTTTTTAAAATACCAAAGTCAAAACTCTTCTTATGGAGAGGAGTTTTTCAAAACTTTTTAGAAAAGAAATTATTTTAACGATGAAGTACTCAATATTTTATTTTTTTTAATGTAAAGTTCTTTTTTTTCCTAATTTTTATAAATTTAATACTTTTAAAAGTTTTCCCCAGTTAAACAAAGTAATTCTCTACATAAAATCCATATAAAATGAAGCGTAATATAAGCATGCACACACCCATCTATATTCAGACTTGAATTTCAACAATAGGGCAAAAATATATAGAACAATTGAAGTTTGAACATGTAAATTTGGGGGTGCTAGTAGTCTTTCTGTTTTAATTATAATAAACGTTAAACGAAACTAAATACTAGTCCAACAACGACAGTAATAACGGCAGCATTCCCGAGTTTATCCGAATCATTTCTGTTTGAATCTGCTGGGCTGCAGACAGCAATTATCACTATTACAAATGAAGGATTAACAAACGTCTAATTATTTTGTAAAAAGTACTGAAAAGCTATTACAAACATCATTAAAAATTCATTTGTATACGAGGTAATTAAAAATTATATACGTGTCATGCTATTGATAAAATGACCGTCGTGATTGTGGGCATTACAACATTTTATTTACGTATGTAAATGTATTAGCTAAATTTAGAGTTGCCGTCATATTTCTGTATCACTACAGTGATCATTCTGAGTTTAATTTCAGAATATTTGGTTTTGCTGATGATCAACATAACCAGTCTTCCCAAAATCCCTTCCGAAGCATTTCAGTTACAGGCAAGCCCCCGCTTCGCATTCACACAATAAGTGCTCCACAATTTCATCCTCCTACAATGAGCATTTATATGATTACAAAGTCTTTAATTTTTGCATTTTCTTTGTAGGCATACTTTATTCAGAATATTATGAATGAACTAGTGTCTTCATAATACAATGTATACTATTGACAATTGAAAGAGTGTATAAAAGGAAAAAAAATCAAGTAAATGAGAGAAAAAATCGATCACATCCCGCTTATTATTTTGAATACACACACACATAATAAAAGTACAGAAAAAATTAGGACAAAAGGGAGAAAAAAACTAGAAAGAGGAACCGAGTTGGAAAAAAAAAACAAACTATGAAGGAAGCTAGAAATGAAAAAAAAGGGAGAAAATAAAAAGAGTTCCTGAAAACTGATAAAATATTTTCTGTAAAAAATCATACTTTTCATATGAGAGCGTATATAATTTTCCTAATGGAAGTCCTTACATAAAAATAAGGATTCAGTATTTTCAATAATTTTTTTTTTCTAAAATGGCACAATTGAGAAGTAAAAAAAATAAGGAGTTAAATAGTTAGGAGTAGCAGTAATAGGATACTTCCTTTTTTCAAATTATTTAGAGGTTGTGTTCATTTTGAGGAGTTGGGAATTTTGAGTTCTAAAGTAAATAAAATTTTACTTTAATGTTTGAATAGTATGTTAGAAATTTGGAAAATGAGTATTTAATCTCGTTTTGATTTTGAAATTTCTCTTGTGAAACAAGATTTCAGGTGCAATGTCAGTTAAAAGCTCAATTCATTTTTACTGTTATGATCATAAGAAATTGATTTTACTCCTTCAAATTACCTCAGTCGCTCAGTGTTCGGCTTAAACTAGGAAGTTACTACAATGCGTGTGACAATGCTCTTTTACATTTTATTTCTCAATCTTTTCCAAAAAAGAGAGAAAGTATAAGAAAGGGTGTCAAATGAACTATTTGAGATTTTACTACTTTGTTCTTACTTTATTCTCTTTTTCTTCAAAAAGTTTAATGTACTGGAGCATTATGAAAGGAAATTAAAAAATTTTATACGCACTCTAAACATTTCCCTAACAATATAAGAGAAAATCATTAAATATGAAAGTTTAAGACATGCTTTAATAAATCTAGAACTTTACTATAAGCATACAAGAAAATTTTATTTTAAGTCTGGAAGCAAAGTTTTCATACAAAGCATTTTACGTTTTCTCTTTTTGTTTTTGTCTTTCTGTTTGAAATAGGTACGAACTTTTAAAAACTACTATTATGAGAAATTATTTATGTATTATTTTTCTCTATTAAATAAAAATCAGTTCTTTATATTCTTGTGTGTAGTTAAAATTAAAAGAATCAACTGTTACTGTCTGTTAGTTTGTTATTTTGGTTCGTCTAAGTTCAGATTTATTGCTATTAATATAATTACAATATAAAATTTTGTTGTGTTTGTCGGTATAACATTTGGAATTGGCATTGATTATTAAAATTTTGGCATTTTTATGTGATCTAATAATTTTTATTGTTCAAGCAAGTAATTGATTTTTTCATTGATATTCATCCAACTGCCGATGATTCTAATTAATTCAAAAAATTTGGAAATTAACTAAAAAACTTTAATCAGCTTAAACAACTACAAAATTGGTAATCAACTGGTAATCAGTTGATTACCAGTTGAAAAAGCAATAACAACTACAGGCAGTAATAACAATCCTTGTGCAAATATATTGCATGTAATTTTAAACCCCCATAAGTATGCAAGAAAAATATTTTGCAGAGTAAAAACAAAACTTGATATGGTGCGCCAGGATTCTACAACACAAGTCCACGTTTAATATAAAAATTACAAAAATTTGAGAGAAAATGCATAAGAGCCTATAAATAGACACTTTGGAGATGGGAGACTTGAATCCGACGACAAGGTTTTTTGTTCAAACAAGTTCACATTTTGATGATTTCATAATAATGATAGAAAAGATAAAGCATACAAAAGCCTACCAAAAACGGCCTACCACAATGGGAAGTACATTAAAAATAAATACCTTGCTAACGGGTTCCATAGTCTTGGAGTATTTCATTTCTCGATCTAAATGGCTATTGTCAAAATCATATGTCCCAATAATAAAATCGCTATAATAGACGGGCTACAGGTTTAACCACTGAATACAGCCCTGATTCAATAAACTGGAATTGCCTAATATATGATATGTGATGCTCAGACAGAGATTAATTAACATTGAAAAAATATTTATCGTTCGACAATAGTCTTACATAAGACTGGCCTATATAATCTACAAACTTATTGATATTCTTAAAATAATGGGGAAGAAAAAACAAAGCTCTATTAGTTAATGTAGCCCTGCTTATCAATGTAAAAATTTTTTTTTAGTTTTATTTAATCGAATTAATTAACATAATTTTAGTTTTTACGATTTTGTTAGAGTAGTATAAAAAGCCCATATAGTTTTTATACGTATTTGCTAGGGTATTCGAATACAAACACTTCCTTATCTCATTTCATGAGATTTAATCATGAATTGTAAATAAAAAAAAAATCCCAAAAACAACAAAAAATTAGGAAATCTTTAACATTTCCACCCATATATGAATTAATCTGCAACTGACGTTAACATTAAGATCTTTGTGACCAAAAAACATATTTTTGATTGTAAACTCCTCTCTCTTGGCCTCTTCTCGGCTTCTCTTTTATGTCAAATTTTTAAATAAAAATTTATGCTTTTATTATTGAATGTAACAAACTTTTTAATAAAAATAGCTATAAAATATACAAACACGACCATAAAATAATTTTAATGGAATCTAGCAAATAGATTGCTCTCTTTTTGTTTTTTTTTTTGTTTTTTGTGCTCTTCTAATTAAATCGAAGAACTTTTACCAGCTCATAATGTAAATTTAATTTTTTTTTTGTTTACTTTTATGAGTACGGTACTTCTAAGAGGCAAAAGGATTATGTTAGGATAATTAGAACTTAAAGGTTTACCAGATTTTAGTCTAGACTTGTTAAATTGTTATCATCTCGTTTGAAGATAATTAACATTTTCATAAAGTTCTACACTCAAAAT